GAGAGAGAGAGAGAGAGAGAGAGAGAGAGAGAGAACATTTTACCCAACAAAGTAGAATATCAGTGTGTCTCCAGTGTTCATAAATCATTCTCAGAAAATTATCAAATGTTAGGTCACAAAACAAGTTTCAATAAATTTACAGAGACAGAAATTGTGTTAAGGCATTCTTTTAACCACAGTGTAATGCTATTAGAAATCAATTTAAGAAAGCTGAAAACTTGACAAATACATGAAATTTAACTAGCATACTATTAACCCATAGTTTAAAGAAGAAATCTCTAGGGAAATTAGAAAATATTTCTTGTTATTGTTGCTAGATACCGTCTAGTTAAGACATTCCAGAGACAGAAAGCTGTAGTATTACATTATAAAATAATGTTAAAAATCCTTAAGAAAATACCAGCAAACTAAATTTAAAAGAATATTACACTATGACTAAGAATTTATCTTGAAAATGGAAGGGTGTTTGAATATGAGAAAATGAATTCATATAATCTAACACATAATTAGAACTAAAGAATATAATTATGTTCATCTATGTAAGTGGTGGAATAAAAGTATTTTACAAAATCTAGCACCTCATCACAACAAAACAAGAAACAAGTTAAGAGTAGAAGGGAAATTCCTCAACATGATAAAGGGCATTATGAAAAACTTATAATTAATGTCATACTCATTTGGGAAGATTAAGGGTTTTTCTGCTAATGAGGAAAAGACAAAAATGTCTGCTCTTAACACACCTGTCCGGATTTTACAAGGAAATCTAACCTGAGCATTGGGGGAGGGGTGCGGGGGGTGAGTGGAATTAAATGCACATAAATTAGAAAGGAAGAACTAAAACAACTTTCTGTTCTGAAATAGCATGATCCTATATGTTGTGTTGTTATGTGCCATTAAGTCAGAACTGACCAATAGCTGTCCTTCCAGCAGGTTTTCAGAGGAAGTTAATCACGTGAGAGCAAATTGCCTTTCCTTCTCCAACAGAGCACCTGGTGAACCTCAGAGAATTCACCAGAAAGCTAATAAAGCTGATCAATTAACTTTGCCAAGTTTCACAATACAATAAGGATACCCCATGTTCACAGATTGGAAGACTTAGCATGTTAGTATGGGTTCATGCAAAGATGAATCCATATCTCATGCAATATAGCAAAATTAACTCAAAATGGAATATTGAATGTAATAATTAAAACTCTTAAAAAAATACGGACCCTTCATTTTGACAATGGATTCTCAGATATGACCTGAAAAGCACAAGATGGAGTTGAAAATTATTTAGGCAATATAATTGTAGAAATTTATCCCTGAATACAGAAATAAGTTTCCGATGAAAAGAATACATTATCTTCATGGCTTCTGTAAGTTAAGATGTTTTTCTACTTATGTGTATATCTATTTTGGACTTACACAAACTAGAACTAATCCAGCATAAAGGTCACTTACATTCTTGTGTCATTTCAGGTGTATAATGTGTTGGTTTTAGTTTGGAGTGGGTTTGGGGTTTTTTTGTTTGGGTTTTTTTTATGGTTTTTTTTTTTTTTTACAATGTGAATTGTTGTTGTTAAAAATTATAATCACCATTTATGTATATAAAAAATAATTTTCCCTTTACAGCCACAGGAAGGTTATCTGATGGTACAGCAGTTTCAATATCTCGGGTGGGCTTCTCACCGAGAAGTACCTGGCTCTAAACGATCCTTCTTGAAGCTGATACTCCAGGTGGAAAAATGGCAGGAGGAATGTGAGGACGGGGAAGGACGGACGATCATTCACTGCCTGTGAGTGGGGCACAGCCAGCGGGGCCTCGGGCTCATCGCATTAAGTAGCTCTTGCTTTTTGGTTTTGGTTTTCATAAAGAGTATCTGAGAGGAAAATCATTGATGTGGTGGGAAAACTACGGAATTATTCATTACAGAATTCTAAGTAGTCCTCTCCAAGTCCCAGCACTGTGTCTATGTGGCTGTGAGAGGTACCAGGAAGAGGTTAGCTCATGTTTTCTTCCCCTGTGTCCTGTACACATGCACACACCTACCCACTCAAACTCAAACCAGACCCACTGTGGTTGAGGGGATTCCGGCTATTAGCAACCTTATAGGACATAATTCAAACTTGCCCGTAGGGTTTCCAAGGTGATAAATCTTTACACAAGCAGACTGCCACATCTGTCTCCTGAAATGTGGCTCCTGGGTTTGAACCATGAGCCTCTTTGTACCAGCCAAGGGTATTAACCTACTGCTGCCCCAGGGTTACTTCATACATGTACATAAAGTAAATTTAGAAAGTAAATGGGATAAAAAAAGGAAAATAGATACATATTCTTTTCCCAGCTATATATAATCATCTGACCTATTGTTAGAGTTAACAAAACTGCTGTCTGAAATGCCTTTGCTCTGTTTGCTTTTCAGAAACGGTGGTGGGCGAAGTGGCATGTTCTGTGCTATAGGTATTGTTGTAGAAATGGTGAAACGTCAAAATGTTGTTGATGTTTTCCACGCAGTAAAGACACTAAGGAATAGCAAACCCAACATGGTGGAAGCCCCGGTAAGTCACAGAGTCTCAGCCTTAGAATGGACTTTAGAGCTTGCTCACTCACCTAACACCTTGCTGATTTGACATCCTCAGTACATAGGGACTTAAGCAGGTGCATGATTCTTGAGGAAAACTTCCTACCTCACAGTGAAATTATGAACCATTCATATAAACTTAATCACATATCACATACAAAAGCTAATGACAAAATTATTTTCATTTAAATTGGGAAATGCATAGATTTCATTCTTCTGTTACAGCCAATAAATAAATATTTTTTTCTATTCTTGTTATAGAGCCATACAGTGAATATTTCTACGATAAGAATAGATTGCCTACCTAACCTTTATTTTCATCTAGTTTTATTTCTTAGAGCATATTAATTTAACTGATCAAGTATAAGTCTGAGGAATACATATATACAGTATTAGTATTTAAAACACTCATTATTTTTTTTAAATTTTATTATTTTTGTGTGTGTGTACCATCAAATCAGATCTGACTGGTACAGGAGGAGCTTGTCCCTCCTTTTCCAGCACAGCATCTGGTGGATTCGAACCATGCACCTCTGGGATTGCAGTGCAGCTTTTTGCCACTAGGCCACCAGAGCCCACCAAAACACTCATTAATTTTTAAGATAACTGATATTTATTTTGGTCATTATCCATAATGCTTCCTTTTGTGATCAAATCATAAACTAGTTGGTAATCTGGAATTGTTGCCAATTTTCAGCTTTTATCTGTTAGGAAATCTGACTACAAAGGCAACAGCAGTTTGAATTTGTCACTAAAATTTTGTGGTTGAAAATGGCAAATATGAAGTTAGTAATTGAGATACTTCATTTCTTTGAGAATCTTTTATATCAAAGAATTTGTTAGAGGCATGGATTGTAAAATGAATGAGATAAAGTTCTTACTACAATAGATTGGAAGCTAGAATGAAATACATTTGATTCTCAGTGTTTGTAGTTGTTGTTATGCACCACTGAGTTGGAACCAGCCCATAGCAGACCCTCCAGAGGCAGTAAATCACTCAGGAGGAGATTGCCCATCTCTCCCCCCTGGATTCATACCACATGTCTTTGGTTGGCAGTGCAGCTTGTTACAAGAAGGCTACTAGCTCTGCACTGGTAGTAGTTCTGGTCAATAAAATCCTCTCAGCACACTGTCATCTAGTTCGTTCTCGCTCACAGTAGTCTCCTCAGATGAGTTGTCAAGGCTGTGAATTGTGATAACAGGAGACTGCCCATTTTTCTTCCTTGGAGCAGCTGGTTGATTTGAACTGCCACAGATGAGCAGCCTTTGAGATGGCAGCACACCTCTGAACAAATGACAGCACCAGAATTCCCTTATATGCAATAAAAACCGTGCAAATATTAAGTTATTTTTGTTGTTGTGTGCCGTTGAGTTAGAGCCAACTTATACCTAACCCTCAAGCAAGTTTTCAGAGGCTTTAAATTACACCAAAGAAAATTGCCCATTTACTGGAACAACTGGTAGATTCGAACCATCTGCCTTTGTGTTCACAGCACAACTCACCACTAGGTCACCAGCGTTCCCTAATACGTAGTGTTGTTACTTTAACGTCAGCTGCAGTAGTGTCTGTGGTCTGCACGTGTGTGTGTGTCTGTGAGAGGTGAGAGCACCATGACATGTTTAACCATCACTGTTGTAGAAGGAAGCTCTCATGCTGTAACACAGTGAGATGTGCAGCTACTGAAGGGCTGCCACTCTGCTGGTTCAGATCCATTGTTGTGCCCCAAATCCAGTCCCTCCCAAGTCACCAAGGAGCCGACACCGATTCAAGGGCAAGAGGGAATTTATTTCAGATTTTAATCCGGGCCGCGCTCCAAATTGTGCCAATACAACAGGGAAAATGGCCAAGGCCCCGATTCTGGGCTGTCCCGGCTGTTTAAAGGGGAAAGCCCGGGAAAACAGGGTGATACAGGATTGGATGATTTAAAGGAAGGGCACGAAAATAGGGCAATACAGGATTGGCTGATGTTTGGGTGGGGGCTCTTTTCCCCCTTCCCCCGCCGCTTTCAGTTTACTGCTCTAGAGGCTTATACATTTTAAAATGACGTATTGGTTACAAAAATGGAGTCCCTCACACCAGCAAGCGCTGCCAATCTCCCTCCTCTCCTGCAACTGGCAGCCTTGGAAACCCAATGGAGGGTCACCTGTCATTTGGTTCCTATTCAAAAGCAATGTGGCCGACTGGTACAGAGCTGGTTCTGACTCACAGCAACCCTAGATTGAGTTTCTGAGGCTTAAATCTTGTGGGAGGAGTCTGTCCATCCTTCTCCCATGCAACAGCTGGAAGATTCAGCTACCAATCTTTCAGTTAGCAGCCCAGGACTTTACTCATGATGTCACCAGGGTGTTTAGTGGATTTTTTTTAATGAATATGAATTCCTGAATAAAGAATTGAGAATGAGGGATAATGAGGATGAACTGACCCAATAATTAGAAATGTTATTGCTTCATCAGAAGTGGGAAAACCATATCTGCAGCACATGTAAGGGCAGGACTTTTAGATGGTCTTTTCCCCAATTCAAAACAGGAAATTTGTAGGAATCACACCTGTATTTGTGCAGGTCCAAATGTTAGGGTGCTATCTGTTAAAAACTCTGGGAATTCTACAATAGGAATGATGGTACAATTTATCTTTGTGTCCCGTAACAGCCTGTCATCAAGGAAATATGTCCTCCCGGGTTAGGTTACTAAACTGCTGACACAGAGGGAATAAATGGAGTCAGTCACCTGCCCTAGGGATCAACCTCAACTTTATTTCATCCCCTGCTAAGGAGCCCTGGTGTGCAGTAGTTAAGGAGCTCAGTGGCTAAGAGTTTAGCCGTGTTGGGAGAACAAGAGTGGCAGTTTGTTCCTGTAAAGATCGATGTGTACCATCAAGTCAGAACCAAGCCACAGCTGACCCTTCAGCAGGTTGTCAGAAGCAGTAAATGGGATGGGAGGAAATTTCCCACCCTTCTCCCACAGAGCAACTGGTATATTCTAACTGTGTGCCTTTGGGATTGCAGCAAAGCTTTTTACCACTAGACTACTAGAGCTCTGTGGAGCAATTTCACTGGATGAACAGGGAGTCAACAGTAACAAACAAGCATTGCTGCTGTAGAGAAGAGAGGTCTTGGTCCTCACCTCTGATAAAGGAGGTGGTGAAGCATTTGCACTGACAACTCAAAAGCAGATGCTTTGAATCCTCCAATGACTCCTTGGGAGAAAGATAGGCAGTCTTCTCCTGTGCGATTGATAGCCTCTGGAAACCCACTGGAAAGTCAGCTACTCTGAGTGGGTTCCAACCCAACTGCAGTGAACTGAGTGTTGCATCCAGTTTCCTGTCCTCTAAAGAGTGTGCCTCTCTCAAAAGGGAGAAAATGAAGAATGTACTTATTCATATTGAAAGTGGTTTTCTGGTTCAGTAATTGTGTGTAAAGTGCATATAGATTTTATTACCAAACACACTTTCTTCTTCTTCATTTTTTTTTTTTACCTTTCACCTCTAGAACGTGAGATGCAGCATCTGCTAATTGATACTGTGAACATTCTTGATGAAAATTTGTAGGATATGGCAGGGAACCCCGAATTATTTGCATAAGTGTTTTCTGAATTTCTTCATATTCTAGATCACACAATTCACATAATGCTTCAGTTTGCCTGTGCTTTAAAATAAAAATACAGTCCATACATATTTGCAAAAGATTGATAATAGATATGAGTATGCACATGTCTTTGGGGTGGGTTTGCAGGGGTCTTTGAAAAAGTCCAATTAGCTCCCTTATACTAAGGTTAAGCGACCTTTCTACTATCAGAAAAGTCAGCAGTTTGAACCCACTAACTGCTCCATGGGAGACAAATGAGACAGTCTCCCTTTCATTCAGATGCAAAACTTTGGAAATCCAGTGGCGGGATACGAAAAGAATTGACTCAATGGTAGTGGGTAATTTCTGTATACAGGGTGCTATATGCAAAGTAAGTAAAAAGGTAAATTCTAGCACATCTTACTTCTAATGAGAGATTTCTGTGGGTTATAGATGTGTGTAGTGGGATTAGTCTGGGAGCAACTATATAGTTACATACAGAAAAGAGAACCAGAAAAACCAAGGCATCATTGCTGCTTGCCCTACATTTATCAAGATGATCTGATAACTAAAATGAGCAACTCAATAAAACTTTAAAGCATTCTTACCACTTCCTGCTCATGGATTGCTTACGGAAGAGGTGCACTGCTTCCTGAGGCAGAATTTGAAGAGTTAGGTTTATATTGTTTTATTTTTATGCGTGAGAGCAGAAGTTTTGTCCTTTCTCCAACTCCCTTCAACCCCTGTCTATGCCACACCATAAGTTGACTGAAGTCATCTAGAGTGTTAGCAAAGGAAAGGAAGAAAGGGCCTGAATTTGAAAACATTTAAAGGAAGAACTCATAGGTCTTTGCTTACAGATTGAATGAATAGTTGCTATGTCGTTAAGCTCTCTGTTGTTTTAAGCTTTCTTTTTGTAAATTTTGTCCCTATCTCTCAGATCAAGCCTTCTTTAAAACATTACTGGAGCCACTCCCAACATATATTCAACTCTTCACCTCCAAATCTAACCCTAATTTCCCAATTTATGTAAAAAAAAAAAGTTAAATTCTGCCTTCCAAATATTTTTTCCTTTGCATTCATGTCCTAAAAATTCTGTCTAAACACAACCTTTAATTTGTGTGCAGTCAGGGTTAATGATTACTTCAGTGTAGTGTTGAGTTGGGCTGACAAGTTTACTAAGAAAATTGAGAGTATAACAAAATTGCTAAAGACCAATGAAAAGACTTCATAAGCAATTTTCACTTATTCAGATGTGCTTGCCACAGTGATAGGCTAATTTAAATCACACCTATTAGATAATTGGAGTAGGACTATTAAAGAACTCTTGGTACATTTTAATGCCGTGTTTTACTGCTGGAGACCTGGAAGCTATCTTTAAAAATAATGCTATAAAACACAATGTATACAAATTGTGTATGCAAATCAATATAAAATAAAAATAATTTTTAAAATATCTTTCTTTTAAATCATT